GGTACAAACCATATTGAAGGCTGTATAGTCTTTGATTTTCAAGTCTTCTTTGCTTCCAGCAAGCAAGGTTGTGTCATCTGCATATTTCAAGTTGCTAATGAGTCTCCCTCCAATTTTCATGTCACATTCTTCTATATATAATCCAACTTTTTGGATTATTTCCTCAGCATACAGATTATATCTGTTGTTATTAATGCTGTCAAGCTGGTTCTGACTCATAACAACACTGTATAGTGTTTCTGTGGAGAGGCTGGTGGATTTGAACCCCTGACCTTGAGGTTAGCAGTCCAGGGCTTACCTTACAGTGCTACACCAGTCTCCCACAATTTGAATATGGTGAAAGGATAAAACTCTGGTGCACACCTCTCCTGGTTTTAAACAAATCAGTATCACCTTGTTCTGTTTGAAATGCAAACACAAAAACAACTCTGCTCTGAAATTCCCATTCTTCTCAAAAATTTCCATAGTTTCTTATCATCCACACAGTCAAATGCCCTTGCATAATGAATAAAGCACAAGTAAACATATTTCTAGTAGTCTGCTCTCAGCTAAGGTCCATCTTACTTCAGTCATGGTATTCCTGGTTCTACATCCTATTCTGAATCTGGCTTGAATTTCAGACTGCTCCCTGTTGATGTACTGCTTCAACTGTTACTGAATTATCTTCAGCAAAATTTTATTTGCATTTTATATCAGTGATATTGTTCCATGATTTCCACATTCTGTTCAAGTCATCTTTCTTTGGAATGGGCACAAAGATGCATATTTTTCAATTGATTGGTCATATAGTTCTGTCTTGAAAATTTCTTGGCTCATAAGAGTAAGGACCTCCAGTGCTATATCAGTTTATTGAAATATCTCAATTTGTATTCCATCAATTCCTAGAGCCCTGTGTTTTGCCAGTGCCTTCAGTGAAGTTTGGGTTCCTTCATGTTGAGAAAGGCTGAGCATGTTCTTCATTTTCAGTTTTCTATTTCCAGGTCTTTCCAAATTTCATTATAATATTTTACTTTCTCTTCTTAAGCTGCCCTTTAAATTTTCTGTTCAGCTATTTTACTTCCTCATCTTTCTCTAATTTCTTTAGCTTCTCTAAATTCAAAAGGAAGCTTCTGAGTCTCATCTGACATTTATTTTGCTATTTCTTTCCTGGGATATACTCAAGGTCATATTTTGGCTCTCATGGACTTGTTTTAATTTTCTTAAGTCTGTCCATTATCTTGTTTTTCCTGACAATATTGAAGTTCTCTGTTTTATATTTTCACAGATGTAGTCAATTATTCTCTCTGGTGAGGTCTACATGTATAGTTACTGCTGATGTTAAAAAATGGTATTTGCAATGAAGAAGTCATTAGTCTTGCAAAATTCTGTCATGTGATTTCCAGCATCATTTTTATCACCAAGACTTTATTTTCCAATTTATAATCCTTATTCTTTGTTTCCAACTTTTGTTTTCCAATCACCAGTAAGTTTCAATGCAGTTTGATCCATTTCCAACTGATATTAGTAGAGCTCTTCATTATTATCATTGGCTTTAGTTGTTGCTGGGTAAATTTGAATAGTGTTATCAATTCGTCTTCTTTTTGTTGTTGTTGTTAAGTGTTGTTGAGTCTGATCTGATTTATAGGGTTTATGAGGAGCAGTTGGTGGGTTTGGACCTCTGACATTGAGGTTAGCAGTCCAGTGCATATCCCATAACACCTTATCAGAACTCCGATCTTCTTTGTAGGAATAAGTATATTATCCAATGACTGATAGAATTGTACTTCAAGACAAGTATTTGAATGCTCTATTAAATAATGGATTCAACACCATTCTTCTTCAATGTGTCTTTCCAGAATAGTAACCCATATGATTATCTGATTCAAAATGGCCAATACCAGTCCATTTAAATAATGCCTAAAATATCAATTGTTATGTTTCCATTTAGTTTTAATGACTTCCAATTTTCCTAGATTCATACTTTGTAAATTCCATGTCCAAACTATTAATGGGTTTTTACAGTTGTTTCTTCTCATTTTGAGCTGTGTCCCATCAGCAAATGAAGGTTCCAAAAGCTTTGCTCTATTCATATATCTATGGTCGACTCTACTTTGAGAAGGCAGCTTTTTCCTGTTCATATTTTGAGTGCCTTCCAATATGAAGTGTTCATTTTATGGCATTATATCAGAAAATATTCTGCTGTTATTCATAAGGATTTCAGTGGCTAGCCATTCAGAAGTGGTTTGCCACTCCTTCTTCCTAGTCTGCCTTAGTCTGGAACTTCTGTTGAAAACTGTCTATCATATAAGGTTACCAGTGCCAAAGCTTCCAGTAATACAGCAACACACAAGCCATCATATTATGACAAACAAGAGCTGAGAGAATGTTTTAGAGCAAAAAACAATGGTATTGTGGAGATCAGTTCAGGTTAGATAGGACAATCTGCTAGAGATAGTGGTGGTGAAGAAAAGAAAAACCCATAAAAAGTATAGCTCAATATAATATAGTTTTAATATTGGTTGTAAATAGAGTTTACAGATTATAGCTGCTGTTTTTATATAGCTATGTACTTTTAAGAAGCAGTTTACTTATGAATATATTTTCATGGTTTGTAACAATTTTGTATTTATCTCTTAAGCATGAATTATATGCATAGCATCTCAAGTTCCTAGATTGTTTGACCTAATAAAACATTTTTCATTATCTCATTATTTTCAAAGTGTAGTTAAATACTATCCATAATTGAAACCACATCTTTCTATGAACACTTACATTTCTGTACTAAAAATAAGTAAAAGCAAAGTTAAAGATATTTGATTTTGCTTATCTTAAACATTATAAAGCAAAAAGAAAATGAAGCAGAAGACACAAACACAAAAAAAATGTAAATGCATGTAGTGAAACCAAAGATCCTACCTGGAAAATAGTTTTATAGGATAAATACTTCTATACAGACATTCCTAAGAAATCTGAAAAAAGAGAAAGAGTGTTTATTTAGCAATAATCTAAACTTCTTTAGTTATTGCCTACTCATTACTACCATCATTTGAATCATATTGTATTTTTGTATTATATGGTATTATTTTTAGGTGTCACAGAATCAGTTCCAACTCATAAGGACCCTATGTACAACAGAATGAAATACTGCCTGGTCCTGTGCTATCTTCAGAGTCATTGCTGTGCATAAACCTATTGTTGCAGCGACAGTGCCAATCAATATCACATAAATGCATGAATTCTTCTTCAGTTTTGTTTATTCCTTGTTAAGAGTTTACTTGTTTACTTACATATGAGGCAATTGAAAATATCATGGTTTGGGTTAGGTAAACTTTAGTTTTTGGAGTGAAACATGTATATATATATGTTCATGAATATATGAGCCCTATTGTGGTGCTGTAGGACAACTACCTGGCCAACTGATTGGAAGAGATCCATATTTGTACCCATTCAAAGGAGAGGTGGCCCAATGGAATGTGTAATCATTGGACAATATCATTGATACCCCATACAAGTAAAGTTTTACTAAATGTAATACAAAAATGGCTGCAAGCAAACATTGACAGAAAACTATCAGAGGTTCAAGCTAGGTTCAGAATAGGACATGGAATGAGGGATATCATTGCTGACATCAGATAGATCTTGGCTGAAATCAAAGAATACCAGAAAGATGTTTACTTGTGCCTTATTGACTATGCAAAGGCATTCTATTGTGTGGATCATGACAAGCTATGGACAACGTTATGAGGTATGAATGTTCTGGGACACTTAATTGTGCTAATGAGGAACCTGTACATAGACCAAGAGGCAATTGTCTGAACAGAACAGGTGAACACTGAATGGTTTAAAATTAGAAAATGTGTGCACCAGGGTTGTATTCTTTCACTATACTTATTCAACCTGTATACTGAACAAATGATCCAAGAAGCTGGATTATGATGATAAATGTGGTATTAGGATTGGAGGAAAGCTCATTAACAACCTGCTATATGCAGGATACAACATTGCTTGTGAAAAGCAAGAGGACTTCAAATACTTATTGATGAAAATCAAAGACTACAGCTTTCAGTATGGGTTGCACTTCAATATAAAGAAAACAAAAATCCTCACTATTGCACCAATAAACAACATCCATAAAAATGGAGAAAAATATTGAAGTTGTCAATGACTTCATTTTGCTTGGATCAACCATCAACACTCATAGAAGCAACCATCAACAGTCAAGAAATCAAATAATATATTGTGTTAGGCAAATCTGTGGCACAAGACCTCTTTAAGCTTTTGACGAGCAAAGATGTCAGTTTGAGGACTATGGTGTGTCTGATGCAAACCATGGCATTTTCAATAATCTCATAGACATGCAAAAGTTGGACAGTAAATAAGGAAGAAGAATTGATGCTTTTTAGTAATGGTGTTGGAGTAAAATATTGAAATTTCCATGGACTTCCAAAAGATGTGTGTTGGTAGAAATACAGTCAGAGTGCTCCTTGGAAGCAAGGAGGGCCGTACTTTGTCTCTCATTCTTTGGACAAATTGTCAGGAGGGACCAGTCACTGGAGAAAGATATCATATTTGATAAAGTGGAGGGTTGGAGAAAAAGAAGACCCCCAATGAGATGGATAGGTACAGTGGCAGCATCAGTGGGCTCAAACACAATAACAATTGTGAGGTTGGCCCCAGACTGGGCAGTATTTCATTGTGTTATGCATACGGTTGCTATGAGTCTTACCAACTCGATGGCACCTAACAACAACAACAACAATTTCACAGGAGCCTCTGAGTTAGAAATGGCCACGTAAAGCTCACTTCTTTTGTACTATATGAGTGAGTGGCAACAAGAACAAAAATCTGAGCAGCAAAATATAAAATAGAAATGGAACCTCGTAAAAATTAAATACTTTAATGCCTAACTTAGGCAGGTGGACCCTTCACATAATTCTGATTGCCTCTTCTGGTCTTCCAGAAGGTATGATGACCTATGATACTCAAATGGAGTCAAATCTTGCAAGTGCCATGATTGTTCCATGCCAATGGATGAAGTGAATATGGCCAAGCTTTTACCCTTCAACTCAAACAACAACAAACTCTACCAACTGGTTGACCATACAGATACCAAGCAGAAGGTCCTAAACATCAAGAACCTGTATCTCTCCAAAAATGAAGGGCGGTTGGATAAGGTGAAAGGGCTGGAGCCAGAAGAGATGTGTTCAGACAACTTCCAAGATAACTCAATTAACGTAAGCACCCTCTTGGAATTATTCCCCAAGTTATTACGTCTGGATGATCAGGAGTTACCCTCATCTGCTATCTGTGACACTGAAAGGAACAAGAATTTACCATTCTTCAAGGGGGACATTTTTGGGTCAGAGAGCCTGAAGAATCTTATTTTGAAATTCCCGAAGCAGTATTAATGGATCTATGACTATGGAGATCTGCAGGGTCTCCTGGGTGCTCATCACAGTGAGGCCTGCTTCTCGCTTTTCATTCCCTTTAATACTTACAACCCAGTTTCCTTGGTCACGTACTTTAGGTACAGCAGGAATATGAAGAAATGCAAGGACCCCGACCTGAAGTCAATTTGCTGGTCCCAGGGACCTCCGCTCCTGGACTGCAAACTCAGTTACTCCCCTCCTTTTGCTACAAAATGTCTACATTTACATTTCCAACCCTCACAGTCAGTCCTGATAATAATTATTCACTGTTGTACCACAAGAGACCTATCCTCATCTTCTTTCATCATCACTGCACAGACAGATTGGATACTACTCAGTGGAGAGTCTACCTTCTCTGTGCCCTCTGGATCTAGGCTCCCTTTTGAAAGCTTGCAAGCTAGTCACTTCTTGCCTTTGTAGCTCCCACCCCCATTGAGTAGCCAATGTCCAAGTTGCTGCCCATCCCTGTCTACTCTGTGTATAGAGGAGGTGGGAATGATCCTCGCTGTAAGATTTGTTCCCTCTTTTGAGCTACTGCATCCATAGGTGTAGGTCAAGTTCATCAAACTGTATCAGATTACTCTTTTGTTCCTTTTCTTTCTTCTTCTTGTTGAGCTCTGATTATCCAGTCATTGAAGCCAGGTCAAGTGGGTATTATCTGCTAGTGTGGCTGTTCTTATGCATATGCCCTCTCTTCTTATCAGCTGGA